TGCTCTATTTTTGGCCGCAGATTACGGGCATACGTCGATTGTCGGGTGCTTGATTGACGTGGGCCTGGATGTCAACGACCAAGATGATAGAGGAAATACTGCAATTTTTCACTCTGCTCGAAGTGGCAAGACAGATACAATGAAGATATTATTGGAAAATGGCGCTGACGTCCACCACCGTAATGTACTTGGCGAAACAGCGCTCTTTATGCAGCCAGAAATGGAAAATTGGAAATCTGTGAGATTCTGATACAAAATCATGCTGAGCTTGACGCAAGAAACCTTCTTATGGAGACGCCATTGGTACATGCTGCAAGTGGTCCCTACATTCGTCCACTTGAATCGGGAGCTCTAGATTATAGCCAAGTAGTCAGACTTTTCATTCAGAACGGGGCTGATCCCAACCCTTCCTATGACTTGGAGAGTGATGTTCAACATCCTGAGGCATGGAAAGTTCTGCTTTCTCCCAGAATTTCCTCTCTACGCAAGGAATACTCTGAGTCTCGTTTACGTTTATGTGAGGCAGCTCGCCAGATATGGGATTCACGGATCAAAAGCTACAGCGATGATCAGGTTCTGGACTTCCTTCACAGGGTTCTACCCCCGAAATCTCCTTTTCACGGGGTAAATCGCAGAAAAGAAAGCACAGCGCCGCTTCTGTTTGCCATCCGGGGCGGCAACGCTGAGCTAGCCAAAATCTTTCTTAGATGCGGGCAACGCATTGATAGTTTGACCGAACCTGTGCAGGAAATCCTACGTCGAGCAGTCGATTCAGGCCATCGCAGTATTGTGGAGCTTGTGCTGAAAGAGGAGCCCGATGAAGATGTGGATATTCCGTCACTGGTATTGCACGCAGCAGAAAAAAAAAACTGGCCTGTTTAATCCTCTCATGACGGAGCAGGAGGTCAATTTGAAAACCGCAAACATGGATCTTCCGTCACTGGTATTGCACGCAGAGAGGAAACACACTGATCTGTTTAAGTTCCTCATGACGGAGCAGAAGGTCAATCCGAAAACGGCAAATGTGGATATTCCATCACTGGTATTGCGCGTAGCAGAAATGGGAAACACTGGCATGTTGAAGTATCTCATAAAGGAGCAGGAAGTTAATTTGCAAACTGCAAGCGAAGTACTCCTCCTTGCGGCTCATGGTGGAAAGACTGAAGTTGTGAGATTCCTCTTGGAGAATGGAGCAAAGCCAACATTTGTGACTCGGAATGCTCAATCAGCGCTGCATGGTGCTGTCTTGAAAAATGCTACCGAATTGGTGGAGCTTTTACTGCAACAAGAGATAAATATCGACGCCCGAGACAAACACGGTCGAACCCCCTTGTTTTATGCTGTACAACGGTGCCGAACGCCTATAGTCCAGATGTTGCTTGAGGCAGGTGCGGACTCAAACATATCTGAGGATGACTTCACAGAACCAATCTTGTACGACACACAACGACCAACGGCGTATTTTCAGTGATCTGAATACACGCAATTCCGAAAATCTTTTTGGGGGTCTGACACCACTGTTTTTTGCCGCTGGTAACGGAAATGATGTTACTGTCAAACTGCTGTTGAGTCACGGTGCCATCCCAGACGTGCAAGACAGATTTGGAGAGAGGCCCATTAATTGGGCAGCAGCGCGAGGGTTCGAAGCGATTGTGAAGATGCTCCTCGACAGTGGAGCGAATGCAAACCAACTGGATCATCCTAGCCAGTCGCCCCTTTTATGGGCTTTAGGAGTATACAACCATGATTTCTCGAAAAAGCTCTATAGGGGCCGGAGCCCTCTGAGGGGGAATCACTTTGCATTCGGGGACGCAGAAGCAGTATTAGATCTGCTGCTAAAAAATGGTGCAGATCCCAATGTTATTGATGAAGATGGGCGGACACCACTTTATTTGTCAGTAAAGCTTGGCTTGAACTCGAAGGCCTTGGTTCGCTCATTTTTGCGTGCAGGCTGCGACCCCAACAGGAAAGATAAATATGGACGAACCCCACTGATGGGAGCAACTGTTCGGGGAATGACCAAATTCGTGACAGCACTCCTTGAAGCCCCAAATCTTGACCGAGATGCGACTGATAATTTCGGTCGCACGGCGCTGCTGGAAGCTACTGCGAGGAATAAGCCGCTCATTCGAGACATCCTGCTCCAGCCAAGCGCAGAAACCCAAATGGCGCATCCTTCAACTTCGTTGGATGAGCAGATCAGCTATCCTGGCCACCTTTGTGGTATTTGCGGAGTGCACGAGTGGCGAGATCTCGCCTACCATTGCTCAATATGCGACGAGGGCCATTTTGATATGTGTGAGGAGTGCAAGAAATGGGGTGCGACATGTTTAGATGCCACACACGAGATGACCAGAAGATTTGATATAGTCGGGGGTCGAGCGTCTGACATTGGAATCTACATTCTTTCTGAAGCGGAGCTCGCTGAGCTTGGAGGAGCCAGAAAGGCGCAGGAGAAACCCGACAGGATGTCTGCCTATAGGCAGGCTCCGAAATTTTTTCAATGATGTGGGATTCTTAGGCTGTTTGGAGGTGACGATTGCGAAAACGATTTTTTGCCCCCTGCTTCTAGCTTTGCAGTATACTTGTTTCTGATAGCAAGTGGTGATTTAGAGTCCCCACTGAAGTTGCTACGGCCCAGGCTTTCCATTACGGCGAGGGTCTGATGCTCTTTGAGCAGAATTTAAAGAGCTTTGGTATCCTGATATAGCTAATAAGTTCGGCGTGTACTCCTCTCTCATTGCTTTCTCGAGGGCTACGTGAATCAATACATAACCCGCAGATGACCCCCCAAAAGGCAATTCCAGGTCATCTAATGACTGCCAAGTTTGCGACCATATCTTTTCTAAGTCTATTGTGGACATGAGTAGTTGGATGGTGATTGTTTAACCAAGAGTCGCCAGTTCCATTCGTGCCTTCAATACAAGTATAGCCAGTGCTGTCTTTAAGGCTAGATTACTGGGGGTGGTCTAGGAATCCAGAGAACAAGCTAAACATATCGTATTTAATAGCCACTAGTCCAAAATTTTTGAGTAAAGGTTTAGTTTTCCGGAAATAGCCCAGTGTTAAAACGTATCACTCTGTCTCAATAGTTGTTTGATGTAGCCTATCTATTCTCTGTCACTATGGAGGCCCATTGTCGGCGCACAAAGCGTACGTCCAGGTGATCCGCTACTACAGTTGTTGCAAGTGCTTCGCCTTCTACAACGTCATCGACGTCCACGACGCCCAGTACTACAGGTATCAGAATTTAGCGGAATGGATCGTCTATATTTGGTACCAAACCTCCATGACTCAGTTTGACCTAAGTACTACTCTCAAATCGGAACCCTCAGAAAGTACAATACTGGAGTGAATTGTCCAGATCCAAGCTGATCTGCCTGCTTGTTTCAGGTCGCAGTTCTTTGATTCTTTCACTTGCCTGACTCACCACTCTTTTCTTCACAGACACCACTTTTTCCACCTTTTATAACGTCTGATTCTCAGCGTTCGCTACTTCAGAAATTCTTCTCTCTGACACTGCTATGGTCTGGCTTCTATCCAATTTCTTGCTCAGGAGCATACTCTCCGAGCCGTTGCCTTAAGGTCTATCTTCAACCTATAGCCGTGCGCAAGTTGGCTTATACAGATTTACTTCTTATTCCTTATATAACCATATATTCAAATAGAAGGAGTCACAGTTATTAACAAGTTGATATTTCCAATAACCAATATCGTATTTATATAGCATATTTTCCCTGCCTGCCCCGCATAATCTGGAAAGCTACTCCGGTAAGTATAGTGGTTAACACCTCTCTAGTTTGGATAGCAAGTTCTGATTGAAGTATAGGGTTCTACATATGACGTGAGCCAGATACTTATAGGAAGCGCTCTGGTGGTATTTCCCTGCGGTCCGACACATCAGAATGGACATCGAGAATATCAAAGACCGGTCTACTGGTATCGCTCTGAGAGATGATGTGCATAAGTCGTTTGGCAACTTCGCCTTGAGTTTTCTCTCTCACTATAAGTGTGCTCCCATTGCCAAGTGTAGTTTTACTGGACTGCCATTGGAGGACCATTTCGATCACTTGTGGACAAATTCCCTGTCCCATTATTTTGACTCAACCAAATATACTATCGAGAGAGAAAATCACGCATTGACGAGACAGTTGGGAACAGTAAACGATCAAATTTGATCGTGAAGAAGCTTGAGTTTGGGCAACTTCAAGCCCATTTGTTTGTCGAATGCAAGCGGCAAAGTTATCAGACAGATATGGAAAAAAGGCAGCGGGCTGAAGCTCAGCTAAGAGACTACATGGTTGATTGGACTGCACTTCATCCTACGACAAATCACCTGTATGGACTTTTGTCTATGGGCACACATGTCACGTTGTACGAGTTGATTCCGCGGACTCTCATCTGGAGAACTCGAACGAGAATGCCCATCTATGATCTTACATCTCAACTTGATCGACTTCGGCTGGATCGTCAGCTTCGGACTTTGGGTCGCCTCTGAAGTAGCAACGCTGGATCGTTGCTAGGACACAGACACAATCCAGGGTTACCAAGTATCCTCGGGCCGCATGGGGATGTTACGCTGGACGCTGGACGCTGGCTGCTGGGACGCGGCGGTGACGAAAGCCAGGTCGCCAATAATATCGAATGTCGTATAATTGTACCAATCAGAGATAATGACTGGTTTTTTATCGTTACAAAACCCAGCATTGAGAAGGCCGAAATCCTGAACGCGTCAGGCATGGGCGAGAAGCAAATAAGGGAATGGGAAAATATAAAGATAAGTACTTCAGCGCGATCCCTGATGGCCCTTACGTGCATCCACACGTGCTCTCCTTCCCAGACGGTAAAATGAAGACCAGCTGGTGCAATTCGTTGCCGGATATCGATGTCCGCGATACATACTCGTTCTTTTGGAAAGCCCCAAAAGGGGGGAAGCAGATCTGGTTCGCCGTTTGCAGCACTCCCAGCAAAAACTGGGTCGCTGATCTATATTAGGATATAAAGTGCTGGCATGTTTAGGATATTGCGGTGATTCGCTCCGAAGTTGGGACCAGCAAGAACTTAATCATCTGGGACTGTGATCCCAGGGATCCGGCCGGGAAGAAACCCCATGAGTTCCTCCTTTCCCCGCAGAGGGCCGTATATAAATACACGAGAGAACAAGGGGAGCTCGCCTCGTTCTGGTATTCGACCAACCGAGCTTTCTTGGGACTGGACCAGTGCCTTCCCTCGACCCTGGGCTGGCTGTGCGATATGGTCAGCATCCCGCTGGCGGAGAATGATCCGCCATTAAACCATTGTGTGAAGATCACCAGGAAATATTAGGGCCTGACCGACTCCACACGGATATGATCCCATCTCCCTTGTGCTCTCTTCATTGATGAACTCCTTCCGATCGGTCTGGCAACCCCCCCTGGAGCCGAGTTTTGGTCCACTGTCCGATACTATGCGCGACGGTTGTCTGAACGAGGACGGCTCGACCGATGTTTCTCGTTATCTGAAAGCCGCCTTCTAGAACCAGGATTGACTGGTCTGTTTCATGCTGATTCTTATTCTCGACTACTGTTTCTCTCATATGTGATACCTGACCTTCTTGCACTGCATGGTATTGTTTCCAGCGATACTGATACCTTACTGCTCACTGTTTAGCAGTTATTGCGAACCCCGTTTTTCTGCCCAGGTAAACTGCTGTGTTGGATACTATTTCTTGGCCTAGCCATCCGTTATCAGTCGTTTCACTTTCACGTCATTACTCTCTATATTCCTTTCAAACCGTTCGTTCTATCTCCAGGATGAGTTTGACGGAGGAGTTTGAGTCTGAGGAGATACTAGCTCTCCTAGGATATTCCGCTTCATACGGTTCGTCAACATTACCAGGAGCCAGCTGTTCGACTCTGCGCTTCGGGCCTGGAAACACCCAGCAATAGTTCTCACCCTTTCTTTGAATGACCTGCGAGATATTGCGGATGAATTTAACAGAGACGAAGGGTCCTTCCGGCCTAATGGATAACTATAGCATCTCCATGGCATCGACGAATTCTGGAACGATGGTTGCAAACAATCTACCTGAATTCCAGAAATTCCTGGATATGGCTGGAAGTCGAACACCAGTCAAATCTGTTCAGAGGAGTGATAATAGGCACCCAACGTCGCTTGCGGCAGTAAGAGTCCTTCAGAGATGTCCAAGCGAGTGGTGGGATACACCTCGGTTATGAGGGTCAGTCACCTCTGCCACTGATTTCGAGATGGCCAAGAAGAGAATATCGGAAACATTGCCTGGGTCTTTAGATAATCTTTCTGATTGGATGTGTCAGATACTGGATAAGCAGCGGAGACTTATCAGAAACTTGCCGACCCTGGATGCATATAACGGCATTGGAAGTGTATCCGATGAGTCGGATTGGCGAAATGTCCCTCTTGGGCCGTCCGCACAGTTTTCCCCTAGTTATATTCATGGACTAGGCTTCATCTAGATGTCATGACGTCTGACTTTGGTCCATTTGCAGAAGACGTTGAACTTGCCCGGTTGGATATGAGCGGTCACTCTGGATATCTACTTATCTGCCACTGTTCACCGCCCTGGATCATAATCGCTTTTATCTAGCATCTAGCTGCCCCTCCAAATAAATAATAGAAGAACAACAACTTCTTCTTCCCTAGAACATTCCGTGTGACTTGTCTTAGCATACTCATACTCATATTCATCTTGCTCAGAACCCGCGGGATCTGCTCTTATAATTCTCCGTAGTATGCAAGCAGTAATTAATTAATATCATTAATAATTGCTGTAGACATTCTGAGCACGTTGCCCAGTGGTGCCACCACCATGATTGATCGGGAAGTGAGATGGAGAGGCAAGCCGAGAGTTCGGCCGACTGGGTCGGATTTTCGATGTTGTTTCGTTGGGCGGAAAAGATGATCAGAGGCTAACAGGGCTAAAATGGGCTAATCAGCCAAAAAACTCTCCGCAAGATCGACTTCATTATTAATCATTCGGAGTTATTAATCATTTCAGAAGAGGCCAACAGCTGCACAATCCAACCACGGGTTCGGTCACTTTTCACAGCATCCTATTGATTGCCCGGCGTTTCACAGGAGAAGGGAAAGGAAGAAAAGGAAACATTTGAGACGGCGTAATCTTAATCGGGGGCAGTTGTTGCCATTGTCGCCGCCGACGTGACGATATTGATATGATGGAGGGGCTTCTAAGCAGTCCAACTCTCCGTGTATTAGTATTAGTTAGTTATTATGATTATTATTATAAGTAGAGTATGTATTAGAATTAGTATTATTATGATTGCTATTATTATTATTCCAAGCTACGATGCTTCTTCCGGCATTATTCTTCTTATTTCAAAGCAGAGTGGAGCAACATTTGTCTGCGATTTGTCCTTCGATCGGCTTCTCCGCGGTGACATTTCTCTTGCTTGAAGTTATTTAAAGCTGGTCGATCTCCCCGGGGTACGCTCCATTCATATTGGGGTATAGATATTATTATTACTACCATACTCAACCTTTATTAACATCCTCTCCTCCTCCTCTCTGTTATCTCTCTCTCCCTGATCAACCACAACCAACAACCATGTCGGCCCGCGCTCAGGTTCCCGATATCATCAACAAGCCCGCTCCCGGCGTTTCCTACTTCACTCCTGCCCAGGAACCTCCAGCTGGAACAGCTGCTGACCCCCAGTCCGATGGCACCAAGCCTCCCAAGCTCTTCACGCCTCTCAAGCTGAGAGGTCTCACTCTGCACAACCGCATTGGGGTACGTTGGTAGTTGTGCTATTCGTCGTTATCGTTATCATCGCAAGATGAACCCAAGATGAACCCAAGAACTGACCGTGATCTTCTTCCTCTTCAGCTGTCTCCCCTCTGCCAGTACTCCGCCCAGGATGGCCACATGACTGACTGGCATCTCGCCCATCTGGGAGGCATCGCCCAGCGCGGTCCTGGTCTCCTGATGATCGAGGCCACCTCCGTTGTTCCCGAAGGACGCATTACCCCCCACGACGTCGGATTGTGGAAGGATTCGCAGATTGAGCCGATGCGCCGGGTGATTGAGTTTATCCACAGCCAGAACCAGATCGTCGGTGTTCAGATCGCCCACGCTGGTCGCAAGGCTAGCACCGTTGCTCCCTGGTTGTCCATGGGACCTGGCCACCGAGAAGGCTGGCGGCTGGCCCGACAACGTCAAGGGTCCCAGCGACATCCCCTTCACCGACCGTTTCCCTCTGCCCAAGGCCATGACCAAGCAGGACATTGAGGAGCTCAAGACCGCCTGGGGGGCTGCCGTCAAGCGTGCCGTCAAGGCGGGCGCTGACTTTGTTGAGATCCACAACGCCCACGGATACCTGCTGAACTCCTTCCTCTCTCCGCAGTCCAACAACCGGACCGACGAGTACGGTGGCAGCTTCGAGAACCGCATTCGTCTGACCCTCGAGATCGCCGAGATCACCCGCAAGGCTGTTCCCGAGGACATGCCCGTTTTCTGGCGTGTCACTGCCACCGAGTGGCTGGAGGAGGTCAAGCCCGACGAGCCCAGCTGGCGCGTCGAGGACACCGTCAAGCTGGCTCAGATCCTCGCCGACAAGGGCCTGGTCGACTTGATCGACATCAGCTCTGGTGGAAACAACATTCAGCAGAAGATCAAGGGCGGTCCTGGATTCCAGGCTCCCTTCTCAGTCGCCGTCAAGAAGGCGGTCGGCGACAAGGTTGCGGTCAGCGCCGTTGGCAGCATCAACGACGGCAAGCTGGCCAACAAGCTGCTCGAGGAGGACGGTCTTGACTTCATCTTCATTGGCCGTGGCTTCCAGAAGAACCCCGGTCTGGTTTGGACCTTTGCTGAGGACCTCGACACTGAGATCTCGATGGCCAACCAGATCCGCTGGGGTTTCACCAGCCGTGCCGGTCCAGTCTTCTTGAAGAAGCGCAGCCAGCAGAAGCACTAAATCTTACACAAAACGATGTAACTAGAATCTCGCGTATGAGGACTCCCAGACATGATTGATGGTTTTGTTATGGTCTCTCCCCCTTCCTCTAGAGATACTATCATATAGAGCTTATGAATGAAAATATTACGGATGTTAATCTTTATTCTTCTCCCTGTTCAAATAGATGATATATGAATCACTTACATGTTGATCGCAGTCATCCACCATAGGGAAGTAGTCAAAAAAACCCCCCAATCCCGATAAAGTGTCACGTAGTTAAGTAGTGTCAAAGCGAATCGAATGATTTTCTACCACTAAACCACCACAGATCTACCCGTGCAATAAGTACATAGACCATATCCATATTCGTAACTAGTGTAAATAGACCGACCACACGGGGCATCCGATCGCGTGAACCCCAGATATGCTTTCTCGGAGAGCCTCGGCGCAACGTGTGAATTTTGAAAAAGCCGTCGGACACGGAACCAGATAAGATCTCCGGCGTCCGAAGTTGACATCAAGCCGTTTCAGAATAATGAGAATCCAATCGTCGTCAAAGGAGTGTCGATTACGAAAACAATTGTCGACTTGACTAAGGCATCAGACAGAAAGAATCCTTCTGCCTTGATTGTCTTCTGGGGTAGGTATTTTTTTGAGAAAAAGATCGAGGTAGTTCAACATCCTCGGGAGAAGCAATTGAACCGACTCCGTTTATTTCGAGGATTGGATTAGCCCGCTCCTCGCGCTGGTTACCTGATCTGGGTTGACTTGAGGACTGGCCATTAGTTATAAAGAATCGACAGATTTCCAGCTCACCGTCGGGACTCGGACGTCGAGTTTGCAATCCCAGATCGATCTCGGAGATCGATCGTGATATGGATCGTGGATTATTTCGGTGACTAGTTATCGATCTGCAGCTGTTGTGCAATTAGGTACTTACATCCGATCCCTTCTGCAACCAACCGAGGTGTCTAAGTACCTTGACATTTTCTCCGAAGAACGAAACAGCTCCAAGAACTCCAGTGTCTATCCATCAATCTCGTCGTGGATTACTTTCACTGGCCCCGAACGACACCGCATTTTGTTACTTTTTCTCCTTAACAAGTTAAGGAGCGAGAGCAATCTTGCATAAGATCCAGCAGGCTACTGGTGTCGGAGATCTCGCGTTTGGACGGGGTGGATCTTCAACATACTTAGTCCCTAACCAAGCCAAGCGTCGATGAAGCTTTGGATGTTTGAAGATTCATCATTATTATCATCTCGCCAAGTCCAACTCTTCATGGACAGTTGATATAATCTCGTCCTTTACCAACGAAACATCTCCCTGGAACGCATCGACGGCCAAGACCGCTCTTCTCGACGCAACAATTGACGAACTCGAAAAGTGCATTATCAGTCAGCTGCTAATTACTGGCTGAACCTACTTGGTCTTTCGTGTATTCGTGTCTTGCGAATTACTTCTACCAAACTTACTCGCCATTATTCCTTTTTGATCTCATCGTCTCTTTAAAACATCCTTTTACCCTAACTACAATGGGTCTCTCTAATCCGATTTGGGCAATCTTGTCCTTCAGTCTCGGTATTCTTCTCGTGCAACATAAACCAGAGTACTCCGTGCGAGAATCCTATTTCCTAACGGCCCTATCGATCTTCTTCACAACACTCGTCGGGAGAATTGTCTATACTACAATCCTATATCCGGAATTCTTTACGCCGCTAAGACATATCCAGACTCCGAAGGCAAGTATACACACATACATACAATTAATCATTCATTTTGACCTTCTCGAAAAGGTCGGAACGATCATTGCTAACCTCTTTATAACTATATACAGGGAAGATCATGGCTCAAAGGCAATACGCAATCATTATTCATCGAGTCTCCCGGATCGCGCTGTCTCCGATGGATGGAGGAGATGCCTGATGCGGAACTTATCCGCTACTATCTAGTAGGAAATATGGAAAGAGTGCTTGTAGTGAGCCCTAAAGCTCTAAGCGAGGTTCTTACTCTGAAGTCATACGACTTTCGTAAGCCTGATCTGGCACGGATCTCTCTGGAGCGTATCACTGGTAATGGCGTTCTGCTCGCTGAAGGGGACGAGCATAAGGTTGGTTCGAACATCCTGTATTATCCTGTTTTGGGGACCTTTTCATCCATCTCGCTAACTAATTCATTCCGCAGAGACAACGAAAGAATCTCATGCCTGCTTTCTCTTATCGTCATGTTAAGAATCTCTACCCAGTCTTCTGGGCCAAAGCAGTCGAGATGGTCCAGATGATTGGCGATGAGCTTCGCAGCAAACCAAACTCTCAAGAAGAAGAAGATGATGATGATAAAACAATCATAGTCGGCGACTGGGCCAGTAGAGCCACTCTCGACGCCATCAGCATCGCCAGCATGGGCCGCGACTTCGACACGCTCCGCGATCCAGATAACGAACTCAACAACCACTACCGCCGCTTACTGATGGAGCCGTCCGTGAAAATGAGAATCCTCTTCCTGGTAGCGATGTTCCTCGTCGATTTGGGATTCTTCCAGAAGATCCCCATAAAGCGAAACCGTGACGTTCGCGCAGCATCAAGCTACATCCGAACCGTTGCCCGACAACTAGTTCGCGAGAAGAAAGAACGGCTTGAAAAGAAGACACAAGATGCCAATGGCAATGCCAATACCAACGACGCAGTGACAGCCGCCAGCGACGAAATCGACATCATGTCCGTCGCCCTAACCAGCGGCGGCTTTTCAGAAGAGAATCTAGTAGATCAAATGATGACTTTCCTCGCAGCAGGGCACGAAACCACCGCTTCTGCCTTCCAATGGGTCATCTACGCCCTGTGCAAACATCCAGGAATCCAATCTCGTCTTCGTGACGAAATCCGCGCAAATCTCCCATCCCCATCACATACATCCAATACCATCTCCGCCTCAATCATCGATTCCCTTCCCTACCTCAACGCCGTCTGCAATGAGACTCTCCGCTTCTACCCCTCTGTACCTCTCACCATCCGAGAAGCAGCCCGCGACACCACCGTTGTCGGCCACCATATCCCGAAAGGATCCCTCCTTGTTTTAGCCCCCGAAGCCACGAACCGGAGTAAGGAACTCTGGGGCCCCGACGCGGATGTATTTGATCCGGAACGATGGATGGGTCCAGGACGAGCGAATACCGGTGGTGCGGATACGAATTATGCGTTTTTGAGTTTCCTGCATGGTCCGAGAGGGTGTATTGGTCAGGGGTTTGCGAAGGGGGAGTTGGCGTGCATGGTGGCTGTTACGGTGGGGAGGTTTCAGATGGAATTGAAGAATCCAGATGCGGAGTTGAAGATGAGGAGAGGTGTTACTGTGTCGCCTATTGATGGTGTAGAGGCGAGGTTTAGGGTTGTTGAGGGTAGTAGTAGGTTTCGTTCTTTAAATGCCGGAGATTTTTTTTTTTTTTTTTTTTTTTTTTTACGTTTTTATTCCACTATAATGATAAACCTGACCTGTTTGATTATTGCGGTATATATATATATATATATTGTTCCTTTTCCACCAACTCGATTCTATTGATCTGTCCAGTGTCAAGTTTCTTGCACGTATAGCAAAGGTCTAGCATTTCCAAGAGCAACGGGCGCTTATACACCCACGTAAATAACTAACTACAGAACCAGCTTAAATAAACGTGAAGCAAAGAGTGAACAATCTAATAATACTCCTCTCTAAACACCATAACCCTCCCTTTTCTCCATCTGCATCTTCTTCGATCCAGGCCCGAAACATCCCCCCACAATTGAAATCGAAAACGACATTTCCTCTCTTTAGCTTATCACCAGGATTCTCTGGGAGTGAGATGAAATTTCGATCCCGATGATCCCACCTTGTCCTCACTCGTCTTTTCCCATCGTCTACCTGCGGAGCGCTGCAGTTCACCGCCTTGTCCGGCGATGGCGGTGACTGCCTCAGCGAGCGTGCTCGGGAAAGATCCTGCAGGAGAGAATCGGAGCATCGAGGACGCAGTACGGGCCGCGGCGACGCGTAAGAAAGAGTCGCCGTTGCCAGTTCCTGAGAGGGCGACGGCACGACGGGTGGTAAGAGGTTTGGTATATCTCGGTTGTTGATGGCTCAGAAGGGGTTGCTTTTCAGGGGAACGAGGACGATGTGATCCTGAGTCTTGGTCTGCGGGGACATCCCGGCTTGAAGACAGATAACGAAGGTAAGAGGTAAGACAATCTCCCAGGCACGATTTCAGATAGCGAGTAAAGTCCCAAGTGGTGAGATGTGCGGACTGGTCTGATTCTGCATGTGTTGCCGTTGAACTTGATGTCCCATATACCATCGTCCCAGTCTCACTTTCAGCAGTTACTTTAACATCCCACGCCTCAGCCCAGAATCCCGCTCCGAACGTCGGTGTATCACCAACTCTCCCGGGCTTCTTGTTCGTCAAACCCCCCGTACTCGTAGCAACGGCCAGATTGCCCCATTGGTCCAAACAGACGCATCCCACAGTCCCCTGACTCATTGTAATATCTTCCTTAATCCCCTTCAGGCCTCTCATATGCTCATCCCATCGCTTCTGGGTCCAGAACCACTCGTCAGGCGCAAATTCTAGACCCCATCGTCAGCCAGCTTCTCGACTTCGAGCCCACTGAGCTGCGAGTGCATATTTCCTCCGTCACCGTTCGGTTCGCCGTTGGAATCGTAACCCGTTCGCAGAAGCGCTTCCCGCGCAAGTTGGATCGGATGCCGTACGCTCCTCACGTTGATAACGCCCGCGCCGCGTTTTTATCGTTCCCGGTTCGCTGCTATTCTCCCAGCCCTCTTGAATGGATGTCACCATGACGGAGGCTTCCATCTCGATAGTGCCAGCGGAGGTAAAGACGCTGCCCCGACCGCAGTTGAACAGCTCGTCGTCTTCCATCAGCGAGACAGCATGTACTGCTGCGTCGAGGGCGGTTGCGCCATTCTTGAGCAGTGTGTACGTCGAGCGGAGGTAGGCAAGGAGAGACGCATGGAATTGGTCATAGAGAGGAGGTGGAAGAGTCGAACGATGGATGTCAACCGCGCCGCCGTGGAGGATGAGTGTCGGTTTGAACGTCGGAGGAAGAGTTGCGGACATAGTTGATATGCTATCGAGGTATCTGCGGGCTGAAGTGGCCTAGTGATAGAAAGCTGGTTGTTCTTTGATGGTTAGCTATCTGGCATCTGAATCCATTCTTGCAAAATAATAATCGCACACTTCATATGGTGAGGAAAGCTGTAGATCTGCGAGGTGACTTGGAACTATCCATGCGGGAGTAACCTGTCACTTGGGGCTTTTCCTGTTACGGAAAGTCACACGTCGTCCCCCGGTCACCCTCGGACTAATCGGGGAAATACCTGGGAGATCTAAAAAAAACGAATCGCGCAGTAAAGCAGGCTGTGTATTAAATATCACATTCATTCGGACGTTAATGTACAGGGTCGAACCACAATGGCTTGGACAGACTGTCCTAGAAACACGGCCGGAATGGCCTTTTGTGAACCCGCAATCCCCGACGTAGAAATGCAGAACGCCAAGGGGATGGAACTATAAACCCAGGCGCGAAATAGATTGCTGAGATATTTTCGAGCAGGAACGGAAAGGTAGCGAAATATAAATGGAACCTCTATGTCATGCCGCAGAAAATGAGAACCCGGACCCAACACAGAGGAGGAGAGATGGTTTTATGAAGAGAGCGGTTTAAACTCTTGTCGAAAGATATTGTAGGGTGACTCGTGTATGTTTATGCGACGGCCTTCTCGCCAGCGGGAGGAGGTGGGGGTAGCTGCAACACCATGTGAGTAATAGGTTATCTCGGTGAGGAGCAAGGCTACTTACATCCAACCTCGTGTTCTCAGCCATAATTCTCTGGAATCCAATACCAACACCTTCAATGACACCCAAGAAGATGGCGCACATGATAGCGGAGTTTCTGGCAGCTTTCATACCACCTCGAATGGCCAGCGCACCACCTGTGAAGAAACCGGCAATGACTAGGAAACGACGTCAGACCTTCACTCCAAGCGCATATTGGGTGGACGATAAGGGTCCATAAACATACTGGCATTGTACGGGTCCTCCTTCTTTCTGATTCCCTTGATCGCGCAGTCGAACGTCGAGAACATACCACCCCAGACACCAAAGTTTCCGCCCAGCCACGGGCACGAGCCTTAATCGCGGTGATCGCACTATCCGTCGTTCACCGTACGGGCTGTTTCGGAATCCTTAACACCGTGCCAGACAGCGCCTCCAATAGCCTAAAGCAAGAAATAACCCATCAGCGCTCAATGTTCGGAGCTGAAGGAAAATACGACGGCGGGTTCGACGGAGCTGGATGATTACATCACCCCATACAGAAAGCACCACCAAGTCACTCAGGGCAACCCAGGGGCAAGGATCTCTCGAGTGATCCATGACGGTATCTATAAAAGAGTAAAGGGATAGGTCGAGGGAATGGACCCGGCGAAGAAACGGTGGCCTTAGGAGTCGAGATCGCGAGATGGCGCGCGCGGCCAAATAAAATAAAAAAGGTTGAAAAAACAGGGCCTATCCACCCGCACCCTAGTGTACAGTGTTTAAAGTATTAACCGTCTCTGTTAATGAGACTGGATGGGAGAAGAAAGAAAGGGCCGACGATCGAAACGCAACAAGATAGACAAAAGCCGGAACGTGGCTTTTTTCTCCAGGTAAACGTGACCGGCTCGAGGGAATGTCACGTGCATCACCACCACCCGCCTTCCCAATATGACCGTGGCGGCATCAAAGGTCCATCAGGGTCATAACTATTCCACGATTATTGATTGAGTGGCGCTATTGTTAAAGTCAGAACTGCTGACAGATGAAGTAGATGCGGTGCATGGTGACCTGCTGGGATAAACAGCTTGTCGACCTTTCCCCTAGTGTGAGTCAGCGGGACGACCGCACTGACGACCACCGGGGCCCCAGAGAAAAATGAGCAAAGGGAAACCGGGAGAACGCAACCACAAGGAGAGAGGGGAAAAAAAAGGGAAGGGAGAGAGACGAGAAAGACTAAAAGGGTAAAGGAAGGAAAGGGGGGGAGGAAAGATAGGAGGAGGGAGAGGGAGAAGGAGGGAAAAAAGGAAAGGGGCGAAAAGGGGAACGGAAGAGAAGGGCAGGAGGGCGGAAGAGGGGAGGAGAAAAGGAAGGAGAGAGGTCGGGAGACGAGCAAGGGGAGAAAAGAGAGAAAACGCGAGAAAAGAAGGAGGAGGAGGAGAAGAAGAAGAGAGAAAGGGGGAAAAAGAGAAAGGGGGGAAGGAACGGGAAAGGAAGAAGGAAGCGCGAGAAAGGGGGAGGGGAAAGCGGGAAGATAGGGTAGGAGGAGAGATCGGGAGAAGAAGGGGAAAAAGAAGCGAAGAAAAGCGGAGAATGAGGAAGAGTGAAGAGAGCGGAGGGGGAAAGCGAAAAGAGAGAAAGGGAGGGGAGTAGAAAGAAGGAAGAGGACGAGGGCGGTAGCGGGACGAGGAGGGAGAGATAAGAAGAGAGAAAACGGAAAAAACGGGAAAGAGGCGAGGAAAGCGAGGAGAGGAAGAAACGAGAAAGAGGGGGAAAAAGAAAGGGGAGAGGAGGTGAAAGATGTGAGGGGAGAGAAGGGGGTGACAGGAGTGTCGAAGATGGTAGAGAGAGAAAGGAAGGAGAGATAGTGAAGGAGAGGGAGGAAGAGGAGGACGAAAAGAAAAAGAAGAAGGTTTATACTTAAAAATAAAACCTTTAAAAAATTATAATAAATTCTAAAACTTAGAATTTTTTATTTCCTTATAAATATATAATAATAATTAATATAGAAAAGCTTTAAAATAAAGAGTTTATATATATTTTTACTAATTTAAAGTTAATTAAAAATTTATATTTTTAAAACTTTCTTTATTATTATTATATTATATTACTATTATTTTCTAAAGTTTTATATATTTTATATAAACTTTATAGTATGAAAAATATATATATAATAAATTTTATAATAAAATATTAAAGAATAAATAAATAATATTAAGTTAAAATTTTAGAAAATTTACTAACTTTAACTACTTATAGTACTATATATATTAATAAATTTCATAAAAAAAATAGATTAATTAAAAATTTATTATTTATAATATTTATATATTAAATTTTATTTCAAAATATTTAATTGTTGTTGAGTTATAAAGGTTTAGATTTGCTAATTTTCTATGGGGGAAAAGCGGTCGTCAGGTGGGAACGGTCGGCAGCTGGTCAAAGACTGTAGGTCCGTCAGAGGTTCAGGATATACATTTACTTCGGTGCGATAGAATTCGACAGTTATATATGAGGAGGGAAAAATAAAAATAAATTATATATATATACCTATATAAGAGGACGTCAGGGTGGTACTTTCTCTCAAAGTCGAACACGTAATATTTATCTAGACGTCTTCCCAAAGCTCTCTATCAACTACCGGGATAGGAGCCGAATCTCGACCTCGGAAGTTAAGTAGAGAGGTTCGTTCGGCTGTTAACCCGACAAAGAAGATCGTACATACATATGTTTACCCCATCCTCGGGGTCCATTCCGGATTCCGACGGTAGTATTAATACTTTTGAGTACCGTATAAGCATGCATATTAAGAAGGAAGTAAATAGTACTCTCAAATCAGTCTCATAATTACCTACCTATCGCAGCTACATTCAGCATCAGGATAGGATGCTACCTTCCACGACCGAGGTCCTCATCTGCGGCGCTGGATCAGCCGGTCTCTGTGCCGCTGGGTGGCTAGCGCGTTATGGACTGGAGTGCACAGTCTT